GTTTGATAGATGTTTTTTGTCTTAGTGTCTTTTATTATAGATAAACTATAAAGCGTTACGTCTGTGGGCTCATAAGAAAGACCAAAAATTGTCAATTACTGTATTAAAAGAACAAATAAGGATTAAAATAAATAGGAAGATGTTGCAGGTTCAAAATATATACAGAGTAAGCTTTTATTGTAAGATCGGTTGATAATTCCGTTATTACGCCTCAGGTATTTAAAAAAGTTATATGCTAAAATTGTATCCAACTGTATGCTGCTGCCTTGGAAAATATTTTAATTTCTATAAGGTGATTTGTAACTACGTGGTGAACCAAACAACTACAAACAAATTGAAAGCCTTACGTGTAATTGCAGATTCGGTCAGGCAGCAGGTTTTTGAAAACTGTTGAGACAGACAATCAATAGAAAACAACACTATACTTTGGTAACTTTCACCTCAGTAACTGTATAGATAGATAACGTTTTTGATTACATGATTTATGATCCATATTTTCTTCTCATCTACTTACTTTTTAGTTTCTGGATAGTTGATACAGGGTGGCCAAGAACGCAAAATGAACAGTTTCTTCAAATTTTCAAATAGAACACCCTGCATATTTAGATACGTTTTGATTCTTGCTTTCACAAGTGTTTTTCTTATATGGGGATCTGTGTGACTGGCTTTAAGCTGGGAAAAAGACAGGGACACCTTCATGAGTTTCCGAATTTAATGCATAAGATTATGTAGATTTGATTTCTCCTACTTTTTGTTTTAGAAGGTATTGTAATATTTTCCATCTACCTTGACAACTGATAGACCGAAGGGGTAGATGTAACTCAAAAACAGTCGTAGAAACCCACTATAGATCCGACATCAAAAAAATCTGGTAAAAAGGGTGATCAAACAGTGTGAAAATATACACTGTGTTCCATTTGGAAACTTTGACAAATCGTTCATATAGCGTTCTTGACCACCCTGTATAAAGTATCAAAAAACTGAAAAAGTAAGTAGATAGGGAGAAAATACGGGTGCATCAAAATTCTTCTGAAGAAGAATTAATTTAGGTTTTATCAAATTTGCAAGGGTTTGGAGACCTTAAGGTATGCCACTGTATAAATCATGACATGTCGAAGAACTACCTTAGCGATAGCGTGTAAAAATGACAGCAAGTAGATCAACTCTGCATTTCCCAAGCAACGTCGTTATCAGTTCGTCAATGATTATGTCCAGCAAAAGTTAAACTCTCTGAGAAAAAAATCACTTACGAACAAATATAACAGAGAAATTAAAGGCATACTTTACCTGCCCTACTGGTTGTACTCGTATCGTCCATCTTTCAACGTCGCCTGTCCCCAAGTTTTAAAGGCCAATGTACGGGTAAATCTTTGGTCTGCCCCAACCCCCAACACTTACCCTTACAAAATTTTCCTAAAAATGGTCAGGATCCCTGAAACGTCAAATAACGAAATTTGACCTGTTTCTATATTTTTGTTTTTGGTCCTTAGTTCCGCCACGCTTACACTGATCTTCAAAAACTACAAAGCTTTTTCGTCTTTCACCTTTTGTGAAAATTCCATCAAAGTCCGAGAGATACTTTCCAAGTTGTAGACCGGCCAAGAATTAGCGGACAGACCGACAGACAGACCATTTTTAGTGATGTATCTGTTATATGACATCCAAAAAAGGTAATACCTCGATTGCAATAATACGTCCTGGCCGGTGGGCGTAGGAACTAAAACCATAAAACATGATATATGGATTTTCCAATTGCGGATATTATATGTTGGACATGTATCTGACCCTGATTGCTTGATGACGGTTTCAAAAATAGCGACCTGATTAAAAGCATGAACGCTATGTTACATTGCACTTGCAACTCACAAAGATCCCATCATCGGGTGCATTTTTTAATTCACCTAATTGCCGACAGAGGTATTTATTTAATTCTGAATTTAGGCCAACCGTCTGAGTGTCAAATAAAAAAATCGACTCAGCCAAAATTAAGACGTATTAAAATCTGTTAACGAAATATTAGGTCTTTTTTCTTTTTGTTTAAATTGTATTTTCACCCTGGACATAACTTTGGTCGTAACATATTTCTAGAATAATTAATGTGGATATCATCATTGAGCTCATGTATGCTCATATATGTAGTTTGCTACTGCTACACTGACCTTTTCGAAACAGATTCCTAATTAGGAGATAAATTCTCTCAGAATATCGCATTTCACCTAGGATATTTTTTGGACGCCGTAGTACACTACATGGTTTGCTGTCTTCAGGTATTTTATGTTAATGAATGATAGAGATCAGCTGTAAATTACCATGACGGATTATATATAGCAATGCAGCGTTGAAATGATGTCGAATTCAAAATTCAGCTAGAATCACTATCCAAGCAATTTACCTTTTCAGATATTCTAAGCTACATCTTTAGGGTAATGGCGGATCTGGGGTCTCACTCGTGACTGTCCTGGTCATAGTCTTAAACCATCATAGAAATAGTCAATATTACCTCAATCCAAGCATAAATGCATGGTGGAAATGTAGGAGCCGCAAAAACTTAAGTGGACAAAATAGGTCACTAGATAAAATGTGCACGCACCACTTATCTAGTGTAGTATAATAACAGGGCCAAGATTAAACCGGTTGTTCTCAAATTTTATTATTAATAGGATGTATATCTGACCGTGACCATGTCCTATCCCATACCCACCATAAAAAAGATTTAGATTGGTTAGTCCGGTTCGTTTAGAGAAGCACATTATATCAAAAAGCCTCAGACAGGGACCGAGTCGGTCGTTTAGCGCTTATTGATGTACACAAAGCGATAATAATGGCGTCAAGTAGGTTGTTTCTAGACTTTCCACGCAACGCTACCTTCGGTTAGCCCGTAAAGGATTATGATCGGCACTGGTTAGCCCTTCTGACGAAAAACTTAGCTACGGACATGCTGAAGTACACTAGTCAACCTTTTTCTGATATGAAGTTTTAAAAAAATGGCCTCAAGTAAGATGACCCCGTACTTTCCACGCAATGCTGCATAATTTCGTAAAAGATTGTGTTTGGTACAGGTTAGCACCGAGAAAAAAGTTAGCCACGAACACTTGTATCAAAAACTTAAATGACCTTGTTCTTCCAGCTGAGAAAAATTCCTCCAAGCGCACATGATCATTGCGATGACCAATCTCGTGAGAATCACGATATCGGCCTTCACCATACACAGTAGTGCTAAAGCGATTTCCAACTATGACGTACGATGCTCGTACATCGGGGTCCACGTAGCACGTATCAACGCGTGAGGCTTGGAGTACGGGAACATCTAAGATGAGTGAGATATGCCTATTAGGTGCGTAGAATGACTGGAGTTGGAGGCGTGTAAATATACCAATGTCCAAATAGATATATATTTTCCCCCAGCTGATCCCTAATTTTTCACTCCTACAAAACGTTTTAGCGGAAATAATCAGGATGCTCTGAAACGCTAAAAAAGGAAGTTTTATTTTTCGTTTTTAGCCTTTTTCTCCGCCGCCGCTGGACCGATTTACAAAAACTATGCAGCTTTTGTGTCCTTGGTATAGTGGAAATATTTCGTATAAATTTCATCAAAATCCAAGTGGTATTCCTCAAGTTATAGGCGGTTATGTGATTAGGGAACAGGTAGGCCGACGATGAATGACGTGGTTTTTCATGGTCATATAACATCCAAACATTGTTATAGCTCATTTTCGAAGTTTTTCGCGATTACAATACTTCTCCGCCAGCGGGCTAGGGAAGTACAAATTGAGGTTCTGGTAGCAATCTCAACATATTATGTTAATGCAGCTTAAATTTATTTATTCGGTAAAAACAAAACCTCCTAGAACTCTTTTGCAAAATATCGTATATGCATAAAACCATCCACTTACCATACTATCTTATTGGTTGCTGCTCTGAAAACTGATATACTGAGTGACAACAAAAGGTAAACACCTGCGTATGTTTATTAGAATTCAGGAATTTTTTACATATCGATTTATCTAACAAGAAGTGATAAAATGATTAGGTGTTTCTGTTAAGTGGCTGCGTGTATTGTTTGGTGATAAAGAAGCATTCAGTTTTCGTACATTTACGGTATCAGTTAATTGTTAAATTTCATGTAGCTTATTGAGAAGCCTTTTTGTGATTGTTCAAAATGCCTAGAGTGCGTATAATTCGCCGGGTGTCCTAGCTAAGTGACTTTGGTAGGGGTCGAATTATCGGGTTGCGTGAAGCCGGTGTATCGATAAGATAAGTTTCTAGGAGGACCAACAGATCCTTACGCAGTATACCGCAGTGTGAACGAGCGTGGACTCAGGAATGCCAAGGACAGCGAACGAGGGGTTCTGGACGTCCCAGAGGGACCACAGAGCGACAAGATCGCCGGTTAAGACTTCTGGCTCTGATAGACAGATTCAGTAGTACTCGAGCCATCATCAGTGGTTTGAAGAGCATGGACGGACCGGTTGGTATGTATACGGTATATCGCCGAATACGACAGTTTGGCCCGTTTTTTTATCGCTCGCATTGGGTGCTAGGGTTAAGTGGTGCAAAAAAGGGACAGCCGAAATTTCGGTCAAAAACAAGACATTCAATTTTTCCCAATGCAAAAAAACAATAACATTGTAAAAAATACGCTACAAATTACTTCCACATATATACAATTGAAATATGTAATGAATAATAAATAAACGTAAACACAAACATCTAGAAAAAACTATCGCATCTGATTGTGCATTTTGGTTAAAAAATCTTTTAAATTGTATTTTCAAACTTTTCCTGTTACGCTGCTGTACGTGATCGTAGAGACTCGGCAAGTATCGCGTTTTCAAAATAACAAATGCGGCTATGATATTCCATATCGAATTTAGTCTATTTTTATTTGTTGGAAAGCAGGCACGTCGTGAATAACAGGTGCAAAAACTAGACACCACAAAGTTTAAAAACAAGACACCTGCCAGGTAAAAAACAAGACAGCTTTTATACTTTTGATAATAATGCCGAAGGTTTACGTTCCCAAAAAGCGACCCTACGACAAAAAGAACATGGAACCAGCCCTAAAACTAATAGATAATGGCACTTTATCTCTTAGAAATGCAGCTAGACAGTCTAAAATTGACAAATCTGCTCTTTCGAGAAGACGTACTCGGTCACTTGGTAAACAGGGAAGAAGAACTTCTCTAACCAAAGAGATGGAAGTAGACTTAAGTGATAAGGTAAACATTACCCAGTTTAAGGAAGGAAAGCCCGGGAAAGATTGGTTTGAAAATTTTTGTAAGCGCAATAGACTAAGTCAAAAAAACGCAAAAACGCAAGTTTACTACGTGGCACAAATCCTGTACTTCATCGACAAAAGTGACATAGAAATGAAACTTTCCCAGCCAGAAATAGAAAGTAAGACCTGTCGTATCTCTCAGCAATATTGGTTTCCTATCGACTTTGAAAAATACGTCGTTCAATAATATGTAGTACACAATACGTTAGAATAATAAGTTTTCTACTTTAGCTCTTAAAATCCTATTGAAAATCTTGTTTTACCCCTTTTTTGAATTCGGTATGGTTTATTTAACTTGTTTTTGGATTTGTTTTCTTTTTAGTTTAATAAACATAGTTTTGTATTTAATTAGGTGAGTTTTCTTTAAGAACGTTCTCACAATTTAAAACCTAACTATGTTATTTAATTTACTAAACGCTTTAAAACCCTTGCAGTGTGTCTCGTTTTTATTTTCCAGGGTCTCATATTTTGCCACACTGATGTAAAATGAATAAAAGGCCTGAAAATACAGTGTCTTGTTTTTAACCCCTCACTGTCTCATTTTTAGCCTAAATAGTGGTTAAAAACGAGACACGGTTTTTCAACAAAAACGCCCTTCATTATGAATATTATGAACTTTTTTTAACGTGAGGTATACTACATAGCTTTCTATGTACAGGGCAATATAACAAACCCTTAAAGTCCGTTTTTTTTGTTGACAAAAGAATAAAAGATTTAAAAATCGTCTCGTTTTTGCACCACTTGACCTGAACATCGACATAACCGTTTGTTCTGGTGTAGATAAAGAGTTCTATGCGACCAGGAATGGAATCAGGTGATCTTTAGTGACGAATCCCGCTTCTGTCTGGGGATGCGCGATGGTCGGGCAAGAGTTAGAAGGCGACGTGGTGAAAGACGTGACCCACAATTTGACAGAGAGCGTCACGTTCACCACAGCGTGGAGTTATAGTATGGAGTGTTATTGCTTATCGTAGCAGATCACCACTAATCTTCATCATAGGCAAGATGACAGCCTGATGCTATATTCAAGTAGTGGAGCCTCATCTTATTCCATACCTAAGCAGGATCCAAAACCTGATTTTTCAGCAAGACAATGCCAGACCGCATGTTGCCAGAACATCGTTAGATACCTCAACAGGATATCCACCATATTATCAGCACGATGCTCAGGCGTGTCAATGTGTGAATAAGAAATCGTGGATCCTCAACACATTATTGAACCAGCTTCTGCAGTCAGTTGACGAATCAAGCTGAAAATTTAATCATTTTACTAGTAAGTGGCACTGAACATATATGCCAAAAATTATTGAAAATCGGATAAACACACGTAGGTGTTTACCTATTATTGTCGCTCAGTATTCAGGGTGTTTCAGTTTATTGTTGCATAACTTTAAGATTCGATAGAACTTTTAAAATTAATGCATAAAGTCTATATAAACATGGGTCGAAAAATGCGTGGCTTCCGAAATACAGGGTGTTTAAATTTACTTTCTAGAATAGGTTTTTTTTAAATATTCCGAACAATATTTGATGTATAACAGTTAAAATTGATATACAAGGGTTTTTTGGTACGACAAAACGAACCATGGACATAGTTTTACTGTAGCCGCTAGAGGGCGCTCTCTACTGTACCTGTAGTGTATTAAAATGACCGAAAAATTTGTCTTAGTTCAATTTTTTGCTGTTGGAAAGTCTCCTATGTGATAAAGGATTTACTTTTTATGTCTCCTGCACCATCTGTTCACGACAACGACGATATGAATTTGAGATACCTCTTGGACCGTCTGCACATCGAACTGGACTACACAGTAATTATCTAGTTAGTTGGATGCACTGGCTAAGGCCAAGAGCGGCATTAGACAAACACAAAAAGACCAGTCAACGGTCACAGATTGGGTTTTTATTCGGTGGATGCCACCGCGGGACGCACCAGGCGTCAATGTTACGACGGTCATGGTGATGGTGCCAAAGTCAAGGTCAACGGGACCCACAGATACAAAACTGTTGTTGTTTAGTAGAAGGCAGAGCTGTAACAAATACCAGTGGACAGTATTTAGTATGAATTATTTTGAATTTTTTACCTGGAATACAAATACTAAGTACTTTTCCTCAAAAAAGATGAAATGCTTTGATTACTTAAGTATTTTAAGTATCAAGTACTTCAATCGAGTTCTTGACTCGTTCCAAATAAAGTGATTCAAATCCCTTGTAAGTATTTGAAGTACCTGTATGAGTATTTCAAATACTTTTTTTTATATACTCCAACTACCACGAAGGCCTAAGGCCTAAGCACCCATTGGGTACCGTGGGGCTATAGGGGGATACACAGGAAAGGGGGAACGCCACACGGACTCTAGCGAGGGAACACGTGTGCATGCAACATGCACACATTCTGGGTCCGCCGGGTGGTACCTGCGCGTTCGACAGTCAGAAACCGTCTACCACCTACGGACAATCACAATATCCATAGTCAACAGAAAAATTTCTCCTGGGACGGGACTCGAACCCGCACAGCGCACGGCGACTGATCAGGAGACCGAAGAGTCTACTACTGCGGCCACCGCTGCTGCCTGAAATATACAGTGTGTCCTATGCATGGAACTCAGGTTAAATTTGGCAAAAGCTGCCTTCTTTGGCGCGTATTTACATGCCGTTAAGAAATTTGTAGAAATTTCATGGCTTGCTGAGGTATTTGGGAAACACACAAATTTGGCTAAATCGTTTATATTTTTTCTGACTTTATGTTAGGAAATTTCAAAAAACTAATGGAACTTTTTCATTAGCACCTTTTAGGCAATAAATGATGGTGTTTTTAAGTCACCAATTTATTTTTTTACATTGTCCCAAAAAGTATCTGGTAGCATCCGAATTCGACGAGGCATCACATGGTACATTCGTTTTCTTAGTTATAAAGGAAACTGTGTCTTTTATTTTATTTAAGTAAGGTTGCAAACAAATGCTTGATGTAAGGTTATGTTTTGCAGATAGATGCATATTGCATATTACACAATGATATGATGGGTTAAAATTTTATAAAACGATGTTTAATTTAGTGATATTCAGAATAACGAATAAATGTTTAACATTATTTTTATTTCATTTAGAATATGCATTTAAATAAGTTGCTATTATTTTCTGAACATAAATATAATGTCCTAACAGTAGAATTCAAAACATCACTTAATATTCCTGATGTAATCATACTAAATGCTTCCATAACTCATTCTCATAACTGCTGCTCAGTTTCAAAAGTATGCTGATAAACTCGGTTTAGAGAGGAGTTAAATCAGAGAACGCGCTGGCCAGGACGCTTCACTAGAGGTTTAAATCCACCTTCCGGGAAATCGCTGAGAAAGATACTCTCGGACTTGCCTATCTTTCAAAACAAAGAAATTAATGATGATGATCCCTCGAGCACTAACAACTCCGGACGTAAGCTCACTCCACTCTCGGAATGTCCGGGTGGAGGGTGGGCTCGAGGGAACAACATCGAAGATAAAATTTGTTTTTCGAGCATCTGCGGATGCTGTTCATCACTACCTGCAACCTAATCGTCCCGCCGTGCTTTTCTTGGCGGAAACAAAAATCTCAGAGACTGCACCGATTAACCATCTCAAATTCCCAAACTACGAGGTGCACTCCAATCTGAGAAAGAACGGGGGAGTTGTGGCTTTTGTCCGCAGCAGTCTTTCCTGCTCCAGGGATCTTTCTTTGGAATCAGACCGGAAGGACATTCTGTGGCTTCGCCTCAACTCCAAAACATCACCCACATTTATTTGCTGCCTTTATCGCTCTCTTACTCAAGGGCTGACCCAGCTGGTGACGAGCCCTACTTTTATCTCCCGCGTCTCGTCACACGCCAGTAGCCTGCTGGATCTCTTTCTGACCACGCATCCTGTCCCTTACAGCACTGCTGCCCTGTCCCCCCTGGGTAACTCAGATCACGGTGTTGCGGAGGTTAGGTTTCGGTCAGAAGCTGCTGTGGCAGCAGAAACTCGTACAGGCCGCAAAATTTGGCATTACGGACATGCCTACTGGGAGGGGCTCAGAGACTTCTTCTCTAGCTTTCCTGGGAGAGATGTCTGTTTCACTGACGCGGATGCGTCGACTGTCTATTCTTTGATAACCGAAATTATCCACGTCGGAATGGAGGAATACATCCCTCACACAGTGAAAGTTCCTAAACCAGGGTCCAACGGCTGGTTCAACAAATTGTGTGACACTGCTCGCCAGCAGAAGATCAAGGCTCACAGAACCTACTTACAAAACCCCACTGTAGAGAACAGACAAGCCGACGTCGAGTCCAGAAACAAATATAACGAAGCGGTTCGCAATGCCAAAAACCAGCATGATATAAAAGTTAGGCACAGGGTAATGTCGCAGCGCAATGGCAGTCGGTCTTTCTGGACGCTGGCCAAGCAGATTGAAAAGAACTTCTCACACAGTAGCCTTCCACCACTTACGTGTCAGGATGGAACTAATGTATTCGACTCAAAGGCCAAGGCGGAAGTGCTAGCCAAGATCTTTGCTGCCAACTCCACCATGGACGTCCCCACCAACGCCCAAGTGCCGTCAGTTAAAAGGGTTCCGCACACTATGCGGGAGGTAACATTCAGGCATAAGACCATAAGACGAGTGCTCTTGTCGCTCGACATCAACAAAGCTTCTGGTCCGGACATGATTCCTGCCATTGTACTGAAGAGATGTGCAGCGGAGCTTGCTCCAGTTCTTTCGCGTCTCTTCCAGATATCTTATGAATCCGGCACCTTCCCAGAAAACTGGAAATTTGCTCGTTCGCAGCCCATCCCAAAAGAGGGATCTAATACCGACCCTTACAACTACAGGCCTATAGCTCTGCTTTCTGTTATAAGTAAAGTGATGGAGAGGTGCATAAATCGCGAACTGCTGGACTACCTCGAACGTCACAGCTTGATTAGCGACAGGCAGTACGGTTTCCGGCACCAACGATCCACAGGGGACCTCCTAGCTTACCGAGGACCTGATCTGGCACGAACACATCTCGTCAATAGCTGCAGCTGCTGGGAAAAAGCTAGGCTATTTGTTTAGGGTTGAGAAGTACTTTTCTCCGCATGACCTTCTCACTCTATACAAGGCCCAGATAAGGCCTAGCCTCGAGTATTGCTCACACATTTGGGGTGCTGCCGCCCCGACTACATTGTCCATGCT